CCCCGCTGGTTAGGAGGAGGGGAGGCGGCGCCGGGCGGTCCGGAGCCCGCCCCGGAGGAGGGGCTAGGGGCGGGTCTGGACCGGGGGCGGGGACAGGGCACAGGAGAAGGCAGCCAGGGGGCTCCAGTGGAGAATGCTGGGGACAGGGACCAAACACTGCTTCCAGGGAAGGCCTTGTTCCGGCTAGGGGCCTCTCGGTCAAGCGGCAGGGGCATTGACCCGATGACCTCGGCTACAAGCACTTGGGTTCCTTCCTGGGTCCCCAGGGACCGCCCCAGTCCTGGGCATGACCGTGTTTGTCTAGTTCAGACATCTATCTGTCCTTTCTTTCAACCCTTCCTCCCTGCTCCGTGCTCCTCTGCTGACAGACAGCTTTTTCTAAACAACGCTTTCCCAGTTTTCTCGGCGCACAGCCCCTGCGACCCCGCCCTTAACAAGTCGCTTCTCTCACATGGGTTGGAAACCAAGCCCGGGTACCCAAGATTCTTAGCGACTTCTCTGGTTGGTGCAGTCGCTGCCTGAGCAGAAGCGCCCTCATAGTTGTGGACGTCGCCACTTAACCTCTTCCAACCTCCTCTTCTGGGTTCTTTACCTGCCCTAGCACCAGGTTCTCAGAGCTACGCTTCGTGCAATTGCTGCCCTCTGGTGGCCAAGTGCGACAGCACCGAGAAGGCCAAAGAATCCCCACAGCCAGGACACCTCATTTTTCCTTGGACAAGGCCTCTGTCTCTGGGTCTCATAGCTCCTACCTCACCCAGAACAGAGACCAGAGCAGCGACCAGAGAGATAAGTGAAGCTGGGTACTGATTTGCGAAGGGTCGACTTTGGAGACAGTGACAGATGTCCAATAGCTAAGGCAAACACAAACAGTGTATTGAACAGGGAGAGAATGAGGGAATATCTGAGAGGCAGAACTACCCATGCAGGAGAGAGAAAGGGAGGTACTAATTCACACACACACACACACACACACACACACACACACACACACGAGAGAGAGAGAGAGAGAGAGAGAGAGAGAGAGAGAGAGAGCCAGTCAGCTCTGCGCTGGGCTCTTTGCTTGGATTATTTCATTTAATCATCACAACTGCGATTTGAAGTGAGTACTATTATTATCTTTACTCTGTAGATGGAAGGAACTGAGGTTTAGAGAGGTTAGGTAATTTGCCCAAGGTCATAAGCTAGTAAGTGGCTGAACTGGGGTTTGAATTTAAACCTGGGCAGCCTGATGGTAAAGCCATGGACTTAGCTGCTACACAGTCCTTCCCAAGGCCGGTGTGCAGCCTTCCTGCAGCCCTCATTCCTCACACAGCAGCCGACCGTTCTCTGTGCTCTCCACCTCTAAGGACAGACTCACCTTCCCAGCCCCTCTAGCTGCTGGCTCCTGTCTCTTTGGTCAGAGTCGCCTCCTGTTCCCACTACCCAATTCAGCTAATTTTCTAAAGGGTGCGGCCTTGGTCTTCCTATTTTCCCTTTCTTTCCCTTAAATACCAGTAGCAGTGGTACTGACCAGGCAGCAAAACTTTGATCAAACATTAAATCTGTGCTAGGCATCACGATTTTGTGATAGAATGCACGTGCAACCTTGTAGATTAGCACTGTTCTGCTCCCCACACATGCATATTTGTTGGGCTATCTGACACTATTTTGAAATCTGTCCTTGAACTTGTGAGCTCCCTTAGGTAGACTGGGCTGGCCTCAAACTCAGAGATCCACCTGCCTATGCCTCCCTAGTGTTGGAATTAAAGGCGTGCACCACCACCGCCTGCTGTCATGCCTCACCAATATCTCATTTATAGCTCGTAAATCTAAGGTTCAGGACGGTTAAATGACTTGCCTAAGTGTGTAAAGTGCAATATTAATTTATCCCCTGGAAGTCAGATGCTAAGGATGGTGCTGTTTGCTACCTGCTGCACTCCCAGGTCTAGTCACACTCGTGACTTTATTAACTATAATTTATTTACTCATTCCTCCTGAGGTATTGGGGCTGGGACTCATGATCTCACACATATCAGTGTGCTACCACTGAACTATATCCACAGACTTCTCTCTTTCTGTGTTTATGATAAAGTTTTACTTTAGTTCAGGCTGACCTGGACCTCACCACCGTAGCCCAGGATGGCTTGAAGTTCATGGTGCCCCTTTCACCGCAGCATCCTGAGTTTTGAACACCACATCTGGCGTCAAATCTGTCTTGACTAGTTTTCTATTCTGCACTTGAAAAGTGTGTGTGTGCTCTCATTGGGTGAACGTCCCGGCTGCTGAGACTGAGGACCTGAGTTCAGTTCCCAGGACCTACAGAAGAGGGAGAACTCAGTGGAAGGAAGAGAACTAATTCCCACATGCATGCATGGCATGTGTATACACATCCACCCCTACAATAAAAAACATATAAATAAATAAAATGTAAACCTAGTATGGTAGTGTACACTTTCAATCCTCGTACTCAGGAGGGAGAGACCGGTGGTCTCTGTGTGTTTGAGGCCAACCTGGTCTACACACTGAGCTCTAGACCAGTTCTCTATAGTGAGATCTGTCTAGACAGATAAAGTGATAGACAGATGGACAATTTAGTAAAAAGAAGGTTTGGTGTTCATACCTGGAATCCCAGCACTCAGAAGCCTGAAGCGTGAGGATTTTTGTGAATTGGAGGCCAGTCTAAGCTACATAGTAGAACTTATCTCAAAAAACAAAAACAAAAAATCTCCAAAAACTTGGTTATGATGATTCAGATTACTTGAGAGGTAGAGACATGAGGATCAGTACAAATTTGAGGCTAGCTTGATGGGCTAGCCATTAGCCAGGACTATAGAGAGACACTGTCTCAAAAACCAAAACATCCAGGTGGTGGCGCACATCTTTAATCCCAGCACTTCGAAGGCAGAGGCAGGTTGATCTCTGTGAGTTCGAAGCCAGCCTGGTCTACAGAGTGAGTTCCAGGGCAGCCAGGGATGTAATACAGAGAAACCCAGTCTCAAAAGACAAAAGAAAGAAAAACAAAGCCAAAAAAAAAAAAAAAAAGCAAAGGGATGGGGGGTGGGGAGCGGGGAGGGTGAGAGCCAATGAGCAGCTTAGATGATGTGAGTCTTTGTTATGCAAATCTGAGGATCAGGAGCTGGCCTTAGGCCTCCACCAAATGCTGTAGTATGTGTACGCATGTGCACAAGAATAATACATTTTAAACAGTATAAATCAACAAAATAAGCTTGATAAAATAAAAACATTCAAAATACAGAAGAGAATAAAGTTGACTCTCCATATTTTGAGGTCGAAGCCTATGGATTCAACTGATGGTATGCTGAAAATATTTGAAAAAAATCATGCCTGTATTGAACATGTACAAATTTTTCCCTTAATAGATTTTAAATTTTATATATTCTTCTCATATATTACATCCTGACTACAGACTTTAGTAAAATACTAAATATTTTACATTTACATTAAATAATAAATAACTATATTACATGTATTTATTTGTGTGTATGGGAAACCTCTTATGCATACATTCATGCCAGAGTGTGCTTGTGAGGGCCACAGGGCAACCTGCAAGAATCAGCTCTCTTCTTTTATTCCATGGTTCTGAGAGGTCAAACCCAAGTCCTCAGACTTGGCAGTAAACACCCTCACCCATGGAGCCATCTTGTCATCCCCAGACATTTTTTTTCCTTGTCATTATTACCTAAACTATACAATTGTAATGTATGCTATAAGTAATCAGATGCAATTCAATGTGTAGCAGATATGTAGGTTATCTGCAGATACTGGATTACTTTACACAAGTGGCTTGCACATCTACACACAGACTTCTCACTCACGGAGTCCTGGATCCAGTGCTCATGAATGACAAAAGATGATTATATAATAAGGGGTATATCTAGGGTGCGGGGCATTGGTTACGCATGCTTTTAATCCCAGCACTCAGGAAGCAGAGGCAGGTGAGTTCTGGGCCAGCCTGATCTGTATAGTGAATTCCAGGCCAGTCAGAGCTACATAGTTAGAACTTGTTTCAAACAAACAAAACAAAATAGAAGCAACCCCAAAACAACCCTACATTTCAGTCTGGAGAGAAGAGTCAGCAGTTAAGAGGAAGTATGTAGGGCTCTTCCAGAGTACCTGAGGGCTGGTCCCAGCACCTGCTTCTTGTGGTTCACAGCAGTTTGTAACACCAGTTCCAAGAGGCTCTGCTGCCTCTGGCATCCTCAGGCACGTGCACTCAAGTACAGATACTGGCACATATATAAACATAATTTAAAATAATAAAAATAAGTCTTTTAAAGCCCATATCTGTGTTCCTAACTGTAAATCCCCCTTCCTCCACAGAGTGCATCATTTGTAATCTCTGGGGTGTCCATCCTGTGAACATCCTAGCACTTACATATAAATGCCCCCTATAGTTTTATAAACAGTGTCTACCATTTTATAACTTGTTTTTTTCTTTTTTAAATTATGTTTTAATTTGCACTATCTATGGATGTGTGTGTGCTGGAACCAGTCTCCTTCCAAATGTGGATTCCTGGGGTAGAACTCAGGTCATAGACTTCATGGAAAGCAGCTTCACCCACTAAGTCATCTTGTTCCCCCCACACTCCTCACTTTCTCTCCACAGAGTCTCACTCTATAGCCCAGGTTGGCCTTGAACTTGTGATCGATCCTTCTTTTTTGTTGTTTGTTTTATGACTCCAGTCTCATGCCTCAGCTTCTTGAACAGCTGGCATAGGCCAGTGCGACCACCAGGCCTGACTTTAAGTTTTCATTTTATTATCATACATGGGGAGGAAGGAGTAATTAGTTCTCTCCTTCCATTTTTATGTAGATTCTAGGGATTGAACCCAGATCCCCAGGTTTGCATGGCAAGTGCCTCAGACCCACTGAGCAGCCTCACCCCCTTCTGTCAACTTTTCTTTGAGATTGTCTTGCTAGGTAGTTCAGGTATGAGTGGAACATATGGCCCTCCTGCTTCTGTCTCCTGAGTTCTACAGTTACAGGTGTAACCACCATGCCCAATTCATTTATTATTATTCAGTTTTCTTTTTAATGTAGTGCTAAAGGTTGGACCCAGGACTTCATACAGAAAGACAGAAACTCTACTTCTGAGGGACCTGGAGAGAGTTTAGCAGTTAAGAGTACCTGATGCTTTTCCAGAGACCCCACCTGAGTTCCACTCCCAGCACCCGTGTGAGATAGTCTCCACAGACACCTGCATGCACACACACATACCCACTGCACACACACATACCCACCGCGCACACACATACCCACCGCGCACACACAT